CCGCCAACCTCGCCGTTCATTCAAAGCCAAAACCTCGGCTACTCGTTACTGCCGCAGGGTGACCAGTTCTCGCCACCTCCGCGAGCACCCGTGCTGACCCACCATCCTCCCGTGGCGCGACAGCGAAGCGGGGATACTGGCGGCGATTACACCCTGCTACCTCAGACACCGAAGCTGGAGAGGAAACGTTCGAGAAAAGGGACTCGAGAGGTACATTGATTTCATTCATTAACTTCGTTACGTTGACTTCATTATAGAGATACGATAGAGGCTCGAGTGCCATCCCATGGTGCGGAAAATGCAGCTGCTATTTTTAGATCAAACAAAGCAGGATACACACGAATTTTAAAAGCGAGCTAACAGAAAAGCGTGCATGTTTTAGAGCGATATCTTTATGCAACTTCATTTTTTTCTCGATTTAATTGAACGCCACTTTATTTACGTTTTTTAGATTTCATATCAAATATTATGATGATTAAAATAAAACTTCCATATGTAATTTCCTTATTTAACAATAAGAGTAATTTCCTATACTACATATATACAGTGACCTACCGTATTGCTTGGGAGAGAACATATTCCTTATCGCCATCATTAGCGCTTCCTCTCTCCAAACAATCAAACTGTAGTACACTTGTGTTTCTACAAGTAAGTTTATGCTATTCTGATTGCCGTCCGAATATACTTTGGACGCCAATCTATCACAGACACATCAAGATATTTGCAGACTCTCCTTCAGTAAACCTAAATTGTCTAGTACCTATACTTTAATGCACCATATTAGAGAGATGTAATTACAGTTTCTAACATTAAACGATGTAATTACACTGTTTTATGTGTATTAAACTGTAGACATTTCTCCATACATTTGCGCTTACCGAGGTTTTCGCCGATCTAAAGATAGCAGACTGTAATCCATTTTAACAACTTTAACAGCTTGATAAACAGATATCTAACATACGTGCACGTGTAAGATACGATTTAATCTTCCGAAACTGATGGTGGGTCTATTGGATCTATTTAATTATTATGGTTGCAAATAACAACCGAAACGTTGATCTTTTGTTTATATGAACTAAAGGAAAAAAAATTTGTACAATTAGACACAAATAATAACTGTATGTTCTAGCTCTTATTTGCCTGAATTTATATTAATATTAGTTTGTTTATTGAGAGCTCTTTTTATTACTATTCTATTTAATTATATTCTTTACGTAGGGAATGGAAACTAGTTACTTGTAACGTTACGGTTACAAGTTACTTTTTTTTATAACGGATTGATAACGGCTTTATTTTTTCTTTTCATAACTGTAATGGTAACGTAATAACATTTTTTTCGGTAACAGTAATGAATTTTACTTTTATCGTTACTTTCTATATTTTGAACCTACTTGATATAATTTTCGTATATTCAATCTGCAGTTTTGGATCGCTATTCATAATTTGTTATTACATTTAAGATCGTCTCAAGAATAATTTAAAGTTTTACGAACACATACATTTTTTCAATTAATTTTTTTTACCCTTAAGAAAGGAACCAAGAAAATCCACGAAAAAATTAGAAAAAACCGGTTCATTTTTTCTAAAAAAAATTTTTTTTCGTAAATTTTAAAACTATATAAAAAAGTAACGGAAAAGTAACGAATCGTTAAATATCAAGTAACGATAACGCTAACAAGTTATTTTTGAAAATCAGTGGCTATAGTAACGATAATAATTAATTACCTAGTTATCTTTTTGAAGTCCGGTTTTTCTTTAACTGGTTAACTTGTAGTTGAGCTTAACCTGATGTTTCACCCAATGGACTTCATTTATGACATCATCATAGAAGAAACTCATTGGATAAAACATCAGATTAACTACAAATGTATCAGATAATGGGAAACCATATCGATAACCAGACTCGGTAACGAGTAACTAGTTACTTTTAAAATAATAACTTTCCATTCTCCGTCTTTATGTTACATCTGCAAATGTGAATTATTGTTATTAAAATAAACTTAGTATTATGCGCACGCACATACATACACACATACAAATTCTTTTTTTATACGAGTTATATAATTTTGGTTTCTTCAAAATTAATTAGTGCTTTTTAGTTAAGATATTATAAATTAAGTCGATCCCACAGACCCAACATTAGTAATTGCGTATTTTGACGTCAGCTCCGGAGAGTTAATAATATTGCTTAAATATTTTCTGATATTCTTAAATAAAATTCTTTGTTTTTGTATTTGACTTGTCAACGTGATATTATTTGTTATCATTTTGGAAGAAATCTTGTCGCCTACAAATAGATGAAAATAGATCTTTTCATCTTCTTCCTTCAGGGAGAAAATTAAATTAATTGTTTAATGTTTTTTTTATTCTAACTTTATCATAAATTATAAAATGTTCCAGGTGACCTTCGAGACACCGGTATGACGCTCGCCCGACGGGGAAGGGCCTGCCAGCGTGCCTCTACTTTCACTGTCGCCGCAACGCTCCGCCTAGCCCCGTCGTGGTCTTGTCATCATCCTAAAGCACGCCGCAAAACTCACCCTTTGAACTTCCGGTGGACACGATACCGATGAATGGCCTATTTCTTCGGAAGAGAGAACGCAACGGTCTTGGTACCACTATGGATTATGCTTCGGTACCACGAAGATCCTTGGTACCACTAAATCGCAAGAGCGCTGGTGGAAGAAGTCGTTGGGCGTAGTTTTGACGTGTGCAATTGATTTTCATATCTTGCAAGTGCCACGCCTTACAGAGACACGCACGCACGTGTGAAATCGAAACCGCGATGGCGGCCGTTAAAAATAAAAAAAATATTCCGATATCCTTCGATCACGTTTGGGGTATCCATCAAAGTTTCGAGATGAATCGAAATTCGATCGTGTGGTGGAGATGAATGTGAATCGTTCATTGACGTGAAAAGTAAGAATAAAGGAGAGAGAAATCGTAAACAAAAGATTAAATATAGATTATATTATATTAATGAGCATCGCCTCTGTGTACACTTTTACATCGACTGTGATTACAACGGATATAATTATTAAGTCTTTCAGAGAAACGCTGATTATATACACATACAGAAAAACACGTGCGTAAATAGCTGCCGTGGTAACCATACATGCATATCTCGCATTTGCGCGAGTTAGGATATCCTTCGCGCATAACGATTTCCGATTTTGATATACATACATTTGCATTTAAAAAATTCCTAATTCTACAGATTTTTTTTTTCATCCTATTCTCTTATCGATGATTCCAAGCAAACGCTAGTTATTCATTTACACACAAGCAATAATCGGTAAATCGCTTAATCTATGAATCATTAAACAATATTGCATAACATCAATATAAAAATAATATTTGATTACTATGTATTATTAATGAAGGACATCCAAACAGCGTAAACAAGTCGGGATTGTTGTATAAAATTAGTGCATAAAATGCGCATTCACGATAAATATAATATTTCGAGAAAACACGCAGCAATTTGTGAACAGAAAATTGCATTTGCACATTCCTTAATCAATTGTAAAATGCGTTAAATAAATAAACAGAAAAAAATAAAGATGAAATGAAAAAACCAGCCGAATGATCCGGGTGTAATAAAAACAGATAAGTGCTTTGTTTAAAAAAAGAAACCTGCAATAAAGTGCTTCGAAAATCGTAGTTAATGGCGAAATGCAAATTATAAAAAGCAAAGTTTAATTATTCGCGCAGATTAAACGAAAGAAAAGCTAATATGCGTCGTGTGTGACACGTAGAAGAAAAAAAACATGTGTGTTTGTATGTTTCTATGTTTATATAATCACCGCGTGTGAGAGTGAAGCCGTAGAAGATCAATAAAGACGAACAAACGATTAAACAAAAAACGTGAAGGGAATAAAATTAATTAAAACGGCTGTGTAGAGTCGAGTGTAAATGTTAAACACAAAAATGGTTGTAGAATATTGTAACGTTACGAAGGATTGTATGAAGTTTTAAGAGGCGCACACGTCGGAAAAGATCATCGTTGTTTAAAGTAGAATTAATTTTTATCAAATTAGATTGTTGTAGTATTCTGTCATTATTTAATTGTTTTCGCGAAAATTGAATTTATATGTATATACAATATGTAGCATATATAGAAACTTTATACATTTCTAATAATCAAAATTTGAAGAAGACTGAGTTACTATAACTTTGTTAGTTCCTATGATATTTGCTGTAATGTTTAAAATTTTATTAATATTAGATTTGTTAAATTACTTTTAGAATTAATTTTAAAACTAAATTGCGCATACCGAAAATTCTTGTGTTTGCAAGACTGATCTATTTTCCGACGTATACAAGAGCCTAAAGTACGAAAGAATCTGTTTGAGTGATCTTTGTTGACGTTATGTCAAGAAAATAAATGAAATTGCGTAAGATGGACTGCAGCAGCGACACATCAACATCACGACGACATTGTATGTAATTATTATTTATGATTACAATATGTTCGTTGACTATTACGTTAGAAATAAAAATTACGTTGAAAAACGTGTAGTATAATTAAGTATAATGCCAAATCATCCTGCTTCTAATTTCCATTTTCTTCGTTATCCTTGCCATTATTACATGATGATGGGATAATTTCAGAATTGTAATTTTTTAGTCCTAAATTGTAATTTCAGATAAATATTTAATCGCAAGAAATAATGTCTTATATTTAATAGAAATTATAAAAATAGGGTACACAATCCTGATAAATAAAACATAATTTTTTAAATATTTTCATGCCAATATAGACTATATGCATATTGGCATATATTTATAAATAAACACAGTCTCAAACGCGAAAAGTTGATATGTAAAATGTGTCAAACATAACAAGCAAATATAAAACGTAAATATCGAAACAGAAACTCAACTCTATGAATTTTTTATATTGTTAGTTTTAGAATTTATTAATCAAAATTTAATTATTATATATCTTACAATACAAAAATCATCAATCGTCATTGATTTTAATTTGAATTTCTTAGTTATTTTAACTTGTACACTTTTACCTCATCATCGTCATCATCGTCATAATCGTTATTTTGCAGAGGATCTATGATATGCTTTCGCTGATAGAAATCATATTTCTTTTTTTCGCTTTTATGCGGAAGTTGTATGACTATAACAAAAGGTTTATCTTGGTCAGACGCATCCTCATGATACGGTGCATATCTGCATGTAAAAATAATTTAAAAAAATATATATTAAATATGCATAATATTAAATATAATACAAGCAAAATTCATATGTATATATTTATAATGTAAGCGACAAAAATGGAATAATAACGTTTAATGGGAGAAATAAATTTTTAAGATATTTAATGAAGATAAAATTTTTAAAGATTTTCAATTTTTACCTGTGATAGTCTGGTTCATAATTATTATACTTGTTCGCTAATATTCTTTTGGAATGATAACGCTTTCGATGTTTTGGAAACGAATGCCATCGTGGGCGTCGCCATGGAGGAGGACTATAATATGAATATGGCTTAATTTTGTAGGTTTCATTAAATTCCACTAATTCCAAAATTAAGCCAAAGAGCACGATAACCGTAGGTAACTAAAAGTTATTATCAACACATCATAATTAATATTAACATTAATTTTTGCGAAAGAAAACGTTTAATTTTTAAATGTTATTAACTTACCTTCATTTTCATAATGTAAAATTTAATTTTTTTATAATTGTACTTTCAAGGCATCCAATTTACTTTAATTAAATTATTGATTAAATAAATACATTGTTAGAGTGGCATTTTTCTAGATACACCTTTTCCATTTTAATGGTAATATTCTTTTCCACAAATTGATAAAAAAATATTTATTTATCACTATTTGTTAATTCATCACTTTATCTAAAATAACGATTTTAACTTTTACTTTAAACATCTCAATAGCTTTACAATGAACAATTGTGTATTGCACATATAAAAAGTAAAATTGACAGATATTAAGAGTCTTCGATTGTAGATTTTATATATATATAAATATATACACATATATATATATCACTTTATTTCAGAAACAGGACACATTATCTCGCTAAGATTTTTGATGAAGAGAAACGCTCGTGTAGCCGGATAAAACCTTCGTGGATCGAAATGAAACTATGAACTTGAAAGTCTTCGAGCAGACTTTCTTTTATATCTTCCCTTCCATTTCTCTCGAACCGCCTAAAGCAACATATGTATAATGACTCATAAATGTCATCGTAATGCTACAACTAAAGTTATTACAATTTATTCTTCAATGAAGAAAAGTTTCACTAAGGGAAATGTACACTCACAAATAAACAGACAAACAAATTAAGAAATTATTTGGCAAAAGATTGTATCTAATAAAGATATTGTATCTAATCTAAGATATATCTAATAGCATAATAGAAAGTTGTACAATAATTCAAGAAATAAGGAATATATTCAAGAATCACATGCAAATTTCATTCGTAATTCACGTTGTGCAAAGTAGATACTTTCTTTGTGACTTAAATTTATGAAAAATATTAATATATTTCTTATAATCTTGTAACACACATTCATACACTTGAAGTATGCAAGAATATTAGCAGCAATTAAGCAGCAGCTTTTTCGAAAATAATTCCAAATGCGACATTAAATTTCTTAATATATTAAACTTGATTATTATATAACAAATAACTTTGAAAAAAGTTTCACAAATTTATGCTTTAATCAATATAAATTAACGTGAAATTTTGTTTATTAATAGCTATCATAATATTCATTTTAAATAAACATATAGTATTAAATTTTATAAAAGCGATAATACAGAAAAGATGTTTGTGCTAAAAAATTGCTATAGCAATTAATGAGCCGTTAAAGATCCAGCGCAGCGTAGTGAAAAGTGAACGGAGGCATCATACATAAAGGGGTACTTTCAAGATACTTTCAACAAGGAACGCATGCTAATGCGTGCATTTACTTTCAAAGATTTCTTTAGGAAGTACTCATTCTTTTGAATGATGTTGCTGTTATATTGTCTATTTCATCAATCTAGTCGTAGTCGAGATCCTGAGAGCTCTTAGAACTTTCTCTTTTTAATTATAAAGGAAGATATTTCGATGGTCATATATATAATTACTTAAAATAAATTTTAAAACATGTTAATATATTTTACAGATTTTTATTCAACCCCTGGAAGATTTCAGGACGTAACTGTAACATTACGAAATATATTGTTACAATTGCATTTATAATTGCATTAACATAAATTCGCGCGCAACCAGTAGAAGTACAACGAATATATTTTATTATTACATCATATTATTGTTTTCTACTATGTTGCACTGAATAATAATTACGGTTTTCATCACAGCTTACAATAAATTGTAACAAGATTGCTTATTGAAGTAATAATTCTCTATAATTAATTTGAAGTAATAATTATCTATATATAATTAATCGCTTAAACGAAATACATTATTTTAAGAAGATATGTTTTCGTATAAAAGCGCATTGCGTATAAACGTGTAAATAAGTGTACAATTAAATAAGTTAAAGCTAACAATGCCTTTTAAGTATACACGTAGAGTTAATTTCTTATAGTATATTTTCTCTATAACTTCACGATTAGGTCTAGAGTATACTCGTACTTTACGCTTTGAAGAATATATGAACATTAAACTTGTATTCGCATACATGTACTTTTATCTTCTTAGCACTTATGGTAATATAAATGTTACTGTATCTTAAAATACCCAGCTTAAATGATAAAAAACAATTTTTTACAAGTGTAAAAATGCATAAAAAGTCATTTTATATAATTTTTTTCAGTAATTATATGTTAGTAGTAACTATGCATGTAGTAAATTGTTGGTTTATAAAATTTTAATTACAAATTTAATTAATAATTTTAATTATAAATTAGAAGATTAATTAAAGCAATTAAAAAATGTGAGATATAAAAATGGGAATAATATAACAATAACAAAAAATCTCAGGAAAGCAAAACATGACTTAGAAAAAGTAACTTGTAATTTGAATCTATTTTTAACCATCTAATAATCGCTACGATGATTAACATTTGACCATTATCAATAATACTACTATACGTTTTATTTTATTTTATGACAGCACTTGAATACTTTCTATAAGCAGTAATTGCGTTGTCACTTTGTGTGCGCCGATCAAACTTTTTAGAAGAGTAAATTAGATTTTTAAATCAATTATAATAACTCAAAATTTATCGTTGTCGACACATACACATTTTCTATTTGTCATGTCTACTTCTAGAAAATATTTTGGTTATAGTAAAAAATATCTCAGTACTTTCTTCATTATAATCCAAGTTAATTATCAGTTGAACACTAAGAATAACTAAACCATAACTGAATTTATCCAAGCTGATTAAACAATTAGACAATGTTCCGATTTAGCGAATTATATATGTTCTAATATTGCACTAGGACTAATTGCACCATGATTGTACACTACACATTTGTGTCTTGGAGCTCGGTACAGTCAGTGGGCTTGATCTCCAACCACCAATCGTTAGGATAATGATACTTCTGTAATTCTATGCCTTCTCGTGGCACGGGCATCAATTGGCCGCCGAATTGTTTCGCCGGTAGAGGAGGTATCACTAATTGTGGTGGAAAACACTGTAGACTCGGCGAGAACTCGCAGTCTGGAGGCAGGACTCTTCTGGTCCAGCCGACTCTTCTCACCATCTGCGTCTGTAAGTGTCAACACCATTGAATTTTTTAAGATGTTATTGACGTCTCTACATTTTTTCCTTCTTTTTGGATTAGCTTTAAAACTTTCCATCTTAAAGCAGAATATTTTTAAAGATGATTGTGATATTCTCAGTGAGAGATACACATATATGTTTTGTATATCCAGGAAATCTAAGATGGATTTGATACAATTGATGGCTTTGTCGGCGAATCCGGCAATTCGGATCGTAATACCTGCAAATGAGGAGCAATAAAACGATTGCATTCGCCAATTTATGGACAAACTGACGCTACCAAAGGAGTTGTCTTCACTCGTTCTATATACGTGATACTATATACGCTTTTAAAATCCACGGAAATCGTATATTCCTAGAGTTTCCTTCAATGCTCCATGAAAGCATAAAGGCAACAAGACACAAAGCATCGAATTTGCATTTGCGTGCTAGATACATAAAACGAAATCTTACTGAATACAAATACTGCTCTTGACGTAAAAGCAAGGAAGAGTTGAAGTTGTAAACTATAGTAATTACAGTGACAATAAATCTGACATAAATACGAAGCATCTAGAGGAAATATTAACAAAACGAGTAGTTTTATCTGTTTGATTTTATGTCTTATGTGAAAACGTATTCTTTAAAAATTGTTATTTAAATTTTACAGATAAAATTAAAAAATATTTAATATAAAGTCCACTTTAAATAAAAAAATTTATTTAAAACTTAATTACCACTGCGTCTTCCTCGAAAACGACCACTTCCACTTTAGGTGCATTTTCGCCGACTTCGTGTTCCTGTATCCTGTAAATTCCCGCTGCGTGAAGGTAGGTTGCACTCAAACCGACTTCTCGGAAGGCTTTTGTGATTAAGACATCGTCGCGAAGCGTGTCGACCAAGCATAGTTCCACTTTACGTGCCCACGGCAGTGCGCGGCCTATTCGAACTTGACCCCAAAGGCCGCCCAGGCAGAGAAAGTGGACGATGCCCAACTTAGTGAGGACCAAATGAGCTCTGGAGAAATTATGGAAATTATACATGTTTTGATAATATATTATCTTACATAAACTATTACAGATACTTTACGCAATAAAAATTAAAGAGAGACATCTTCTAAAAATCTAATTAAATTTAACTTAAAATTCTAATTAAAAAGGCAACATTTTATCAATTATATCAGTTACATGTATTTTATGACTTAAAATCTAAATGAAAATAGAACCTAATGATTGAGAGGGAAAGCTAAAGAAATTAAATATAATTATAAACTATCATAAATAAATGTCTAATACTTATTGTATTTAATTTTCCTCAAACCGTTATTTAAATCCTGGTAAAAAATTGTTCACACATAAATATGCATAAATATGTATAAACACGCATAAATATTCATAAACATGTATAATTATATATGAAATATGTCCATGCATGTTCATACATCTTTCTTTCTTTTGTAAAATTACTTTTTAGTGTAATAGAAATAATAATAGTATTGTGAAAATATAAAAAATAATTAAGGAGATAATTTTCGCATTGTTTTAGAAAAAAACAAGTTTGGATAAAAGTAAAAAAATTGCTGTATGTTTATATATATTTATACATATTCATGCATGAAAAACTTTTTACCGGGATATCACATAATTTAAATACTGACCTATAAGCGAGATCGTGTAATTTCTCAGTAAATTCTTCAGGCACGCTACATGGCTGCTGCGGAATTTCTTGCCGACTGAGGCTATACCAGAACAGCACAATCATCAGAAAGAATGCCGCCAGAGCTCGCATAGGAGTGATGCGAAAGCGTCTCCGTGAACAGAGACTCATTTTGATGTTCTGAAAATCATCAGAATTCGATCGGAAATCTTTTTTCTGGACGTTATACGAATCAATTATACAACTGCAATGTATTCTTTTATTTCAAATTTCGAGATATTTTACTTATCGAAGAAATCGATAAGAAAATTTCAACCATTAGTTCTTTTGGATACATAGATTTGCAAATTTTTGAATTCTGCCTTTTCCTTTCATTTTGAAATTTTTTTTAAACGAGTCATTGCATTCTAAATTTTTTATATACATCTTTGACATGTTCAAATCCTTATTTTAACTTAAACTGTAAATTTTTTATTTTAAAAATCAATAATATCTATTAATTTTATTTGTTCAATTTTTAAGTCCTTTCCGATATTTTTCATTTTCAGTTTTGTTTAAAACTTCGTTTTTTTAAGTACTTGAGTTTAATTTTATGTTTTTTATTCTTAAAATTTAGCATAATAAAAAATCTACTCTCTAAAAATAAAGTCCACAATATATATCATTTCACTGTTTAACTGTAGTGATTTAAATATTCATTAACCAATTTGTGTATCGTGTTTAGTAGTGTAAACTCTAAAAAGATTTTCAGGAAAGACTCACGTTCCCTAAGGAGCATGCATGATATTAACAACACTTGTCTCTCGAACGACACTCGTCTCATGCACCCTGAACACAAGGAAGGAAAAAACCAACGACTCGAAATTACGTACTCGCGATGTACGACGTAGTCATGACCCACGTGTGATCAGACTTTCTTGAATTTTTCCTTTGCTTTTTTCTCACCCCCCGCGACGAAAACCACTTTCTCATAAAGACTCCGACACTCAACCCTTGACGTGTTCGACATGGCAACGTTGCGAAATATTGATTTTTCTGCTCTACCGACAGTTTTCTCAGAGATAGTTTTGTCAAAACAAATTGTATAAAATAAGAACTCGTAAGAAGTAAGAAATAGATTATTTTATTAATAATAATATAATTTTATTTTTATTTATAACTATAAAATCTGTTTTTAAATTTGTTTTACAAATTTTTAATTCTTACGATTCAAAAGCAACTATTTATAAAAATCTCGCAATATTGATTTTTTGTAGTCTTATCAATAGTTTCTTAAAAAACGTTTTTTAAAGATATAAAATTACAGATATGATTTCATACTTTCAAAAGACAAAAGATAAAAAATTTTAGCCTGATTATTATTATATGTATAATTGATAAAAACTATAAACAATTTTGTGAAAAAAATTTAATATTTGTCAATATTATTCCAAAAAATAATGTAAGAGCATCATTTACAGATCCCTATATTATTAACGGATATTTCCTAGATGATAATACCTTCAAAATAAATACACTGCGTTGATAAAATGTTAATATAATTTAAAAAATATTAACTTTTTTATAATTTAATAAACTTTAATTTTTTATTATAATAGAAAGTTTATAAGAATCTATTATTTACAAATAAAAGAATATTAAATTATGACATTAATTCTGTCTTACCGATTTGTGGTATACGAGTTATTCTAGTTCTAATATGATCGATTGTTAATAGCAGTGGAATATTTTGGATATTTCTAAAAAAATATTCAAAAAGTAAAAGAATGCATATTAGGAACTTTTATAAACACAAATATATTTAATGTAGAAATAGAATTAAAAATTTGATTATGAGTCGCGATAATAATCTTCCTGTTAGTTCTATGTTATATAGATTTTTCTTTGCTTGAGAAGTGCTAATCCATTAATTTTAGCAGTGCGTTAAAATTATCATTAAAATTATATATACTAATTATATATATTAAAATTATATATAAGAATTTCTAATCTTTGATTTAAAAAGGTCGATATCACAACTCATTACAATTTTATGATAAAGCTTCTCTTATTATATTAAAGATAAAAAAACTATAAACAAATAAAATTATTAACAAATAAAGATGCGTGACACGCAATAAATTAATATAATAAATGAATATTAATAACAATATTAAATTAACAAAATAATTACAATTAACAGTTTTATCAATCTATTACCCGGTAAAAAATTTTTCATGCATGAATATATATAAATATGTATAAACATACAAAAACACGCATAAATATTCATAAACATGTATAATTATATATGAAATATGTCCATACAGGTTCGTACATCCTTCTTTCTATTGCAAAATTACTTTTTAGTGTAATAGAAATAATAATATTAATGTGAAAACATAAAAAATAATTAAAGGGATAATTTTCGCATTGTATGTTTTAGAAATAAACAAATTTGGAAAAATGTAAAAAAAATTGCTCATACATAATTATGCATGATAATTTTATATATAATTATACATAAATAATTTTTTTACATTTCTTCAAACTTAATTTTTTCTAAAACGAATAGTGCGAAAATTACCTTTTTAATTATTTTTAATGTTTTCACATTACTATTATTATTTCTATTACACTAAAAAGTAATTTTACAAAAGAAAAAAGGATGTATAAATATGTATGGACATATTTCATATATAATTATTTATATATGTTTATGTGTATTTATGTATGTTTATTTATATTCATACATATTCATGCATGAAAAATTTTTTCCCAGGTATATTAATAACAGAAAAATTTTACAAAAATTTCACTTTATTAGTTTATTAAATATTTTATCAATTTTTAATTAAACTTTTACATAAAGTTTATGTTAAATAATGTAATATTAATACATTATCATTTCTTATAAGAATATTGTAAGGTGAAGTTTTTGCAAAGAGATGGAATTACCTGAACTTAAACAGATCTTAAATTATTTCTTTCTTCAAGTTAATTTATAATAACATCGTAATAACGGAGTAAGATCATCCTTTAGCACAAGAAATATCCTGCTTGGGCTCAATTCGGGACCAAAAGAGACGCGTAGATTATGAAAAGTGCGGGAGACAAACGAGCGACGGAAGCGAGACGTGAAATTAACGAGCAAAAATAAACGTTTCCTCGATAATCTCAGTCGCTCGCAGAATTCCCGGCCGGCGTACGCGCTTCTCCGTTCTTCGCTCTATTTACTTTTTCTCAGAGCCGAATGAGTTATCGCGTCAGAACCCCCTCAGGTTATCCTAATGAGCAGAAACGCCAATAAGCCAGTACGTCTCGACGGGGATGGTGTGTTCTTACGTCTTATTTTTAAACGGGGTGCCCGTTGACGAATTTGCGGACGCGCCGTCCGTCTGTGTCGTAAATGAAACATCGGAAGTATCTTCATCAGCCTTTCTAGAGATGTTTAAATATAATGAATTGTTGACATTCTTACTCGCCCGATGTCAACAATGATTAGATGCTTTCTTTAAACACGTCAATATAGTACAGATACGAATACTGTTTTATGTTACAACATAAAAACAAATGAGAAAGATATGTAAAAGACGTATAAAACAATCGGTATAACTTCGTAAAAGATAACGAAGTTTATTACATTAATCTTTACACAACAAATTATATGAAAAGATATGTAGACATTTTTTAAGTGTACTCTAATTTTGCGTATTGTTGCAATAAGTATTTTATTTAAAAATAAGGAATAAAAAATGTAAATCATCATAATTTAACAAATGTGAGGTAAGTATATCTTAAGATATTTGTATACTCTTTATATTTACGGATTTCTTTATTTCACTCAAATTTTTGAATATTTAAGAATGTTATTGCGATATATATCGCGAGTAATCGCGTCAAGGCGAGCATTAATCTCTCGCTAGCGCGAGGTCGGCAGGTCGCGAGCCCTCTCCGGAATAAAAGCGCTCGGGCGAGGCTCTAGAAAGGGGAGAGGACAAGGATGAAGAAGAGGAGGCAGCAAGAAAAATTGCGCTCGATGTCGTGGAAACGGGCGAAGCCGTAAAACAAACGGTCGGACGTCGCGCCTCTTTCTCCGCGTCTAATTCTGTCTTGTCGTCTCTTCGCCGTGTATTTTCGTAGCGCGTGTCACCTAAGTGCCTTATCTGCGCGTTTTTCGAATCTCGCTGGATCTTGAAATCTATCCTTGAGTCACGTGCCACACACCTGAACTTTCACATTTATTCATCTTGTTCCCAACGAGACACGTGTTGTGCGATAATAATGAAGCTATATTGGATATAAAGATAATTTTCAGACTAATCGGATAACAATTTTTTAAGTATAAGAAAATGGATTAAAAGATTGATAAAATATAAGTAAATTGAATAAAAATTCTTAAAGTATAAGATAATATTGAATAAAAATAATTAATAGAAGAAAGGCCCCTATCATGAGATACCGAGTTCATTTTGAGTAAATGCTAGAAGTCTATGGACAGAATTTAAAAAAATAATAGGTCATTTTGAAGGGAATTTAATAAGCTTTAAGATAATGTTATATAAAATTTAATTCAAATTTCATTTTTTTTGAAAACTAAAGAAATATAAAAAGTGAGCAAATCGCAAAGTAAAAAAATTGTGCTCCTAATATGAGATGCCCCGAGAAATCGACAGTAAAACGCAAAGTATATCAGTATTGCAACTAAAAAACTTTATTTAATGTTTCAGACTAATCGGATCAAAATTTTTTAAGTATAAGAAAATTGATGGATTAAGAGATTGATAAAATATAAGTAAATTGAATAAAAATTCTTAAAGCATAAGATAAAATTGAATAAAAATAATTAATAGAGGAAAGAGGCTCCTATTATGAGGTACCGAGTTCATTTTGGGTAAATGCTAGAAGTCTATGAGCAGAATGCAAACACAGCTAGGGTGCGCGAAAAATGAGTATGCGACACATTATACCCAAAACTCGTCTTCAGGTAGTTGAAATCAAGCATCGCAGAAATAGGCACTCTGGTTGTCCTTTTTATTATTGTACAATAACATTTATACTTTAACAACGATTTTCACTATGACATGGGATCATGGGTTTCATATTAGAAATATTCTGGGTATCTCATATTACGATTTCCACGCCTTACAGTGTTGCGATCATCAAATCTAACTTCTGTAATTAAGCAATTCAACATACCTCGTATTTTTCTATTAGTACGACCTTACTCTATCACTACATGAAGAATTTATTGCCAAATATTTACTTATTAAATAATAAACAATGTTTAAAGGCTCATCTCAATGAAACTTGAAGATATCTAAATTCTAAAATCTTTTTTTACGATGACTACAGGAATGATCTAATAATGAATTTTCTACTAAACAGTTTTCAATCCAAGAGCAATAAATTCATGGTGGAACCAATAGATAGCGTCTATTAGTTTAGCAGAAACGCCGCTATCTTGTATTAGGCGCCTATGTAATAATAGGGGGCTTTCCTCTAATAATTACTTATTGTTAGTAATTTGTGGAATGAATTAATTCTTGCTTAATTATAATCTGATAATAAAAATACAATAATCTTTTCATTCTAAAAATGCTAAAGTTTGTTGCATCCGTATTTGTTTTTCAACGTAAGCCGAAAAAGAGGGAAAGATAGAGAGAATTTTAAGCCTCGCTTAAAGTCAACGTAACTTTGGTGCAACCGGGCCTTAATAAAATAAAATTCAATATTTAATGAAATCTTATTATGTAATTTTTTTAATTCAATGCATCAAGACGGTTGCTTTTTTATATTTTAATTCTAATTAATAATTATTTTAAATATTAGTAAAGATTTTATTCGATGAGATGATAATTTAGATATTTATTTCCGATTTCCAATTGCTGCAGATCACTATAAGAACCCATAAAGGATTCTACATTCTGTTCTACATTCTAAACATCACAAATCATCCTAGATCCGTGGATCCCAAACAACTTTTGATTCTGCTCGGA